TGGATAAAAAAATGCTCTATACAGAGTTTATCTTTCAAAAAATAAATAAATAAAGGAACCACTTAATGACATTAATTATCATGAAACTACCTTCAGTAGATGAGAACTGATAACATTATTTATCATGGATCTACCTTCAGTAGATGAGAACTGATAACATTATTTATCATGGATCTACCTTCAGTGTATGGGAACTGATAACATTATTTATCAGGATCTACCTTCAGTAGATGAGAGCTGATAACAATATTTATCAAGGATCTACCTTCAGTAGATGAGAACTGATAACATTATTTTTCATTCATGGAACTACCTTCAGTAGATAAAAGCTGAAGACATCCTTTCTAAACTACTAAGCTCTGAGGACGACATCCTTTCTAAACAACTAAGCTCTATGGACGACATTCTTACTAAAGTACTAAGTTCTATAGACGACATCCTTACTAAGCTCTATGGACGACATCCTTACTAAGCTCTATGATATCCAATATAATTTGAAGCTGCACTTCTCTACGTTGCCTGACTATTTTAGGGTAGTATAATTTAGTAACCGTGATTAAGCCTTAATAACCTTCTATATAATTATTTTACATTGATATAAGCTGTATGTTACATCAATGTATAAAATTTCAATGCGAAACGACAATGAAGTTGCAGGGCGTTGTTAATGTACCTCGTCTGAGAAGTTTTCTGGACGCCGTTTCGAACAGTTAGCACAGATCTTCATCAGAACCCGATGAAGATTTGCGCTGTCAGCCCAAAACGTCATCCAAAAATGTTCTTATATAGACGAAATATATCAGTAACTCTTTCACGTGTACCCTTCTCTCACTCTTCTCTCAAGCAAGAATGACAGTGAACGTTATAGACATTTCATAAAGCCCTGGAAGCTGGTTGAAAGATTTATTATCGGTAGTGGTGGTAACCAAGTTAGAAGGATGGCATATAAACCTTGCTGTGACTCTATGATGACTCCAGTCAAGTTAGAGGGATGGTGTATCATTGTCGTGACTCTTTGATGACTCCAGTCAAGCTAGAAAGATGGTGTACCATTGTCGTGACTCTATAATGACTCCAGTCAAGTGAGAAAGATGGTGTACCAGCCTTGCTGTGACTCTATGATGACTCTAGTCAAGTGAGAAAGATACTAGCCTTGTTGTGACTCTATGATGACTCTAGTCAAGTTAAAAGGATGGTGTACCAGCCTTGCTGTGACTCTATGATAACTCTAGTCAAGTTAAAAGGATGGTGTACCAGCCTTGCTGTGACTCTATGATGACTCTAGTCAAGTTAAAAGGATGGTGTACCAGCCTTGTTGTGACTCTATGATAACTCTAGTCAAGTTAAAAGGATGGTGTACCAGCCTTGCTGTGACTCTGTGATGACTCTAGTCAAGTTAAAAGGATGGTGTACCAGCCTTGTTGTGACTCTATGATGACTCTAGTCAAGTGAGAAAGATGGTGTACCAGCCTTGTTGTGACTCTATGATGACTCTAGTCAAGTTAAAAGGATGGTGTACCAGCCTTGCTGTGACTCTATGAGGACTCTAGTCAAGTTAAAAGGATGGTGTACCAGCCTTGCTGTGACTCTATGAGGACTCTAGTCAAGTTAAAAGGATGGTGTACCAGCCTTGCTGTGACTCTATGATGACTCTAGTCGAGTTAAAAGGATGGTGTACCAGCCTTGCTGTGACTCTATGAGGATTCTAGTCAAGTTAAAAGGATGGTGTACCAGCCTTGCTGTGACTCTATGAGGACTCTAGTCAAGTTAAAAGGATGGTGTACCAGCCTTGCTGTGACTCTATGAGGACTCCAGTCAAGTGAGAAAGATGGTGTACTAGCCTTGCTGTGGACAGAGAAAAGATAGTCCAATGTGTAATGTGAGCGGAAGATAGGTCCAGTACGAAATAACATTCCACTAGAATGTAATACAGAGCAAAGATAGTCCAATGTGTAATGTGAGCGGAAGATAAGTCCAGTACGAAATAACATTCCACTAGAATGTAATACAGAGCAAAGGTAGTCCAATGTGTAATTTTGAGCGGAAGATAAATTCAAAAGAGGAAATAACATCCACTAGAATGTAATAATCGGTAATGATGGTTGACAACCGTATCACGTAAATTAATATTTTTGAAGAACGTGTTCTTGTTACTTTGAATGATGAATTGCTTTCCACAGCCACCATGTTCAAGCTGATGAATTAAGGGCCTAGGGCAGGTGGAAACTTTTAAATGAGGAAATTACGTGGTGGTCTATGACGCTGCGTGTGTGTTGATAACTTTCCTTATTTTAATTAATTTTAAAACAATAATTAAAACAAAAAAGTAGTGACATCTAATCAAAACATTTTAGATGTACAAAAATAGCCAAGTTAGGTTAAAGGGATCATCCATATATGGATGTGATATAAATAAAAAAAAACAATTTATATAAAAGAGCAAATTCTGCAAAGATGTAACGCAAAAGTGAATAATTTAAACAAGGAAAACTGATGCGTTGGCCCCTTTTCTTCTGGCAACTGGAACAAGCAGTAGAATGACTATAAAAGGGGGACCGTTTTACACAACAGTTTCTTGGCTGTATTCTAGCTTGACCGTTTTACACAACAGTTTCTTGGCTGTATTCTAGCTTGACCGTTTTACACAAGAGATTCTTGGCTGTATTCTAGCTTGACCGTTTTACACAAGAGTTTCTTGGCTGTATTCTAGCTTGACCGTTTTACACTAGAGTTTCTTGGCTGTATTCTAGCTTGACCGTTTTACACAAGAGTTTCTTGGCTGTATTCTAGCTTGACCGTTTCTTTACAAATAATATGTTTTGATCAGATTTAAAGTCTCTCTATATAATTACTAGTGTTTTGAATGAGCAAGCGAAAGATACATGTTGCTGTTTTTTAAAGTTGTTACAACTAGCCTGAGTTATTAATCCGTACTATCAGAACAATTTTAAGGATTTTGATATCTGTTAGGTTATATTTGTTTGCTTCAGAACCATCGTTAAAGCTACTCAAAGGTCATATTTAATTTAAAACTTATAGATTAGAGGGAATGCAGCTTCTGAGTCGAATAGTGAGATAACACTATCATTCCTATTGCACACCTAAGGCATCAAAGTGCGTTTTTTGTGCAAAGTGCCATGATTCACGAACCCTTGGATTCACCGTCCAAGCATGTTTACCATTGAGCCACACCTAGTCCATAGGATTTTATTAATGCCAGTAATTTCTGTAATAAACGACAGTAATTTACTCGCTGGATATATATATGTATATTGTGTCTTTGTATAATTTATATGTCACGTTTTTGACGTTCGCTTTTCCTTCAACATACTTTGTAAATTTTTTTAAAAAACGTTTTGTTAGTTTGTGGTTAACCTGCGCTCAGTTTTTTTTTGCATTACAAGCCCTCACGTACCCCTGTTAGTTCCTTACATTTTCAGTCTGAAGTGAAAACTAGAATTTTGAATATGAACGAAATAGAAACAACCAGGAAGATTTTATATTTTACTACAGTATGCGTGTGTGTGTTTTGAATTTCGCGCAAAGCTACACGAGGGCTATCTGCGCTAGCCGTCCCTAATTTAGCAGTGTAAGACTATAAGACTAGAGGGAAGGCAGCTAGTCATCACCACCCACCGCCAACTCTTGGGCTACTCTTTTACCAACGAATAGTGGGATTGACCGTCACATTATAACGCCCCCACAGCTGAAAGGGCGAGCATGTTTGGTGTGATAGGGATTCGAGCCCGCGACCCTCAGATTGCGAGTCGAGCGCCCTAACCACCTGGCCATGCCGGGGCCCCTACAGTATCTTACAGAAAAGGTATCTTCTTAGTTATCCCGGACTCCATGTTATTTACGAGAATCGTTATTGAGGTGAAACAAACTTGTTTCTAAACGAACCACACAATAATGGTTTTAATTCTGAAACTAATTAGTGTAGTCATATATCCAAATATACCCCAAAAAAAACAGCAACAAACAAACAAGAGAGAATCCTCAATAGCCGCAGCACTTGACATTCTTTTAGGCAGGATTAGAGTAAATTCATCTATGAGACCTGTTTTTCCTTTTTATAAGCTATATTTTTATGCGCCAACAATACAAAGTCTGAAGCGCGCGTATACCCGATTCGATTTTATTACTCACCAGGATCTCTACCAGCCTACCCTCAAATTGAAATTATTTTAAGCAGGATTAGATTAGATTAAACTAACATACGAGACCTAGGTGCGTGGTCAAATACATCAACCGAAAGGGTTTGACCTCCTGAGTCCAAAACTGTTATTAGATATCAAAAATGTCAAGAGATGACGGTGCTATGAGATAAAAACTTTGTACATGAAAACTCAGAGTCATTCTATGTGCTGATATTAAATAACACCGTATTTATTCTGATCACCGAGTTACACAGAACGTGACTTTATCAAATGGAACTGACCAAAGTTTTAACGATCACATGATTAAGTTTTGATGAAAATAGGCGGATTATTATTAATTCAATGGCTCCGGTCTCAGCAGTGTTCAAAGAAATAAAAAGTGATTGATTGATTGATTTTGTATCTTGTTCTTTCCACATCATTAACTTTAGAACAACCCAATTTTGTGCTTTATTTAGCTTTATCATCTTGAATGTTACAGTGTTCTCATCATATAGTATCACCATAGCAATACAATAAAATTTTCCATAACGTTTGCAAAAGAAAAAAAAATAAACTAACAAACAAGATACATATTTGAATAATACTTTTGAACGTTCTTTATCAGTAGTGAGTGTGACCAACTGTTTATAACGAAGTCACTTAGTGTAAAACTGTTATACGTGTAAAAAAATGTACTTAACTCTGAAGATAACCACTAGGAATATGAAATTAAAGAGAAAGTTATAATCACTGTTTAGTAAAACAAGTTTTACTTTTAAAGTATAAACAAGAGACAACATACTGATGTGTGATTTAAAACGTGTTCTGCTAGCTTATGGACAGACAACTAGTACTTACTTAAGACAAGAAAGTTCGGGTTTCTGCTTTGTAGGTCTCTCTTTGTCCGCTTGTTGTCTCTCGGAAAGTCTTTTGCCTATTGGACACGGTAGTTGTCTTTTATAGGCAACCACTCTGCTGTGACAGAAGCTCGCGCCTTCATCTTGACGTCATAACCTAAGAAAAAGACATTATGTAGTTGGTTGACCAAATCTTTGGCTCCGCCTTATGGCAAACCCATCTTCGACTTTTCGCCCCCATTATGGGATTCTAGGATCAATGTTTCTCCAATAAAAACCCACGTTAAGCGCAAAACATAATAGAATTAACGTCATGAATATTTGACGAAAATAACAAATTCTGCCATAAGCATTAACCTACATGTAAAGAACAACATGCATTTTAAAACTGAAAATAATTGACGTTACAGTTTTCAGACCTATTATCCAAATTTAACTAAAAATATCAAAATGACGCTTACTAAAGGGAACGAACTTTGAAAATAAGGTATGAAATTAGATATTACATAGTAGACTGTCCATTATCTATCTTCAGCCATACGTATAATCTTCGTGTTTAAGCACAATTTTTCGATGCCTTTAAAACGTATTTCGAAAATAAACGTACTTAGATTGGAGCTACAGCTCGACATAGAAACCACTAATATATGAAATAATATGTTCACCCATAATAACAATACAACCGTAGTTAAAAACAGTTAGAAATTCTCGTCCAATTACTCACTATATTTGATGCCTGTGTTATGAATGTTTTATTATCATTAAACAATCCCTGTAAAACTGCTTTCTCTGCATAACACTCTTGTTATGTGGTAGAACATTCAGTTAAAATAAAATAACCCCTGTAAAACTGCTTTCCCTCTAAAATAATTTTGTTATGTAGTAAAACATACGATTTAAATAATAGATTATCAATACACATTCTTTTTACAACACCCCTGTCAAGACTACTTAACCTGCATGACAACTAAGTTATGCAGCGAAAGCACAATTATCCCCTGCTACATCTCGTTCCAACGATGAACGAGATTACTTCTTTCTTGTAAGCGTGAGAGTAAGATACGTGAAACGATACTTTTAGCTACTAGTTTATAAGTTCGTCATCTCCATGATGTATTACATCTTATAGAGATTCATACTTGTATAACACTAAGCTGTATCTCAGTATCTCAATAAGAAATGTCAAGGAAACGCTTCTTTTTCTTAGTATCTTAAATTTCAAAGTTTTTTTTTTACGTGAGAATATTTATTGTGCCAGATCTAACAGTAGAAATAGGCTTGAATAATATTTATATGTGAAACGAAGAGCGTTTGTCTTCTTGTAGTCATGTCACTATTCAAAGTAGCAAGACAGACGGACAAACAAATATTTCGATTAATTTTGTTTTGAAGCACACATTTTGTTTTCTTCTTTGACATCACTAAGAAACTTAATAATAATATTTTCTGGAAAACTCTGGAGATTAAAGTAACTTGGATTTATTACCTTAAAATATTTGATTCAATATCGGTCTTTCACTTAACCTAATGTTTCAAATCTAGTATTTCAAATTTAAACCTTTGAAGTTTCAGTCTAAAGAATTATAATACCAAACGATATTGGAACAGTGCACACAACACACGTGTATATGAATGAACTATGGTGCTTTATTGGCGTAGTAAGACTTCACGATATAATGAAAAAAGTTAGTATACAGAAAGAGAGTGAATAAGTTATGAAGGAGATTCTTTCGTCTAGTTTCTTCACGCCTTTCGTATGGTTTCTATATTGCTCTTACCGAATCTTGTAACGCTCTGCATGAAGAGTCAGAAATAGATATGTTGCTCATCGTACTTCCAATTCCTTTTGTATTGACATCTTGCTTGTCTTTCCTATGTAGGGATGGATTTGTCCTAGTGGTATCATGCTGAACTGTGAATCTGAGGGTTCATGGTTTGTGTCCCATTGTCGCAACAACGTGCTCCGTAGTTTTTGGCCGTGTGTGAGAAGAGTGACAGTAAATTCCGCTATTCAGTTAAAGCTGGCAGTGGTAGCTTCTGCCTTCCTTCTAGCCCATCTATTCAAAGTTAGAGACAGGTATGTGCAGACAGCCCTTGTGTAGCTTTCCGAAAGAATCGCAAACACAGAGGTCTTTTCGAATCCAAAGTTTGGGTGATTTCCTCTTAAACTGGTAGGTACGATAAATAGTTCTTATTCTGTTGTAAAGCTTGATTTGTCCCCTATTCCTAAAGAACTTAACTCTGTTCACCAAACGTAGTCCACTTATTATTATTACTTGAATTCTAATGGGGAATAACAACCCTCATTATATCAAAGAATTTTCTTTACTTTTTAGATATTTTATAACGCTGGATCGGATATGCCACTTCTCATTATGTTGAGGACCTTAATGTAACCCTTGAGTTTTCTTTATAAAGCTGAACGTTATCGGATATGCCACTTCTCATTATGTTGAGGACCTTAATGTAACCCTTGAGTTTTCTTTATAAAGCTGAACGTTATCGGATATGCCACTTCTCATTATGTTGAGGGCCTTAGTGTAATCCTTGAGTTTTCTTTATAAAGCGGAACTGGATCGGATATGCCACTTATCATTATTGTATGGCGAGAAAGCATCATATTTTTTGATCGTATATATATCTAATGATTGTATATATATATATGTATGTATGTGTTAAATATTTAATTTGTCTTGCACCAGAGGTGATATTGAAAAAATAATCTGTGTCCTATAGATCTAATGCATAGACATCATATTTCTTATTTTTCTAGAAGATTGGTTTAGATTATAAATATCACTGGCCATCTCTTGAGGCGTTGTTATGTTCATTGCTTTTTTCCTAAGACGATGGTAAAAATTAGAAATATCACTCTCCAATATACTGAGCATTCAGTTTTTTTTTTTTCCTTTTCTACTTATGACAATGGTTTGGTTATATTGGAAATATGAGTTTTCATTATATTGTCAGGACTAAAACTTATATTAAAAATCAAACTTCTCTTTATATTTAAAAAATTGAAATATTTCTTGCTGTTTTTTTTCCAGGACCATGACTTTGACTTGAAATATCAATTCTCATTATGTTGAAGGACCTGATGTATTTGTTAATCTACCTGTTTGGCCCGGCATGGCCAGGTGGTTAAGGCAATCGACTCGCAATCTAAGGGTCGCGGGATCGAATCCCTGTCACACCAAACATGCTCGCCCTTTCAGTCGTGGGGGCGTTATAATGTTACGATCAATCCCACTATT